AGATGTATTTGCTTGTGGATTGTCCGATGTACATGGCTACCGCTCTTCACTACATCTAAAATATCTCCAGTCTACATATTACCTATTGTCTAAGTGTTTGTACGTGCTTTCAACAGTCACGTTTACGGCTCCGCGAACAAGGCACATCACTTGCTTTCGCATAATCTTTATATGCACGCACACATGTACACACGCACGCTCGCCCAATTTGCGATTGGCATACACACACATCCCGTATGATCCTCGCATCGAGCACATAACGATGCCAATCAGCACACTTTTGTCTGCGGTGTGTTTGTTGCTACACACACACTCACACACACACACACACACACACACACACACGCACACACACACGCACGCACGCACACACACACGCACACGCACACAAACACACACACGCACACACACACACACACGCACACACACACACACAGCCACGAACGCACGCCACGCACCCGAGGAGATTGCTCATGGACTGGCTGTGCACTTTGAGCTGCTGCAAGGTCTTGCGCACGCGCTGGTGCTCCAGTTGCTGTTGTGCGAGCGCGTGGCGCCGGAGCACCATCGGAGACAGGTGGTAGCTGCCGGGGCCTTGGTTGTCGACTGGTGACGCGCGCGGGGTACAGACGGGGCAAGAGATTCAGAGCGGGGCGGGATGAGGAGGAGCATGGAGCTGTGAGGGTGATGATGAGGAGGAAGAAGAGACCGAAAACTGTGCGACGGGGACACAGAACAACAGCAACAGACGAACGTATCCACCAGGGGGGCGAGGGGCAGTTACTTTCTCACCTCGAAGCACGCCATACTCGGCCGACTTTGGGCGTTCCTGGGATGTGTCGGCTGTGCTGAGGCGGCTCACGCTGATGAGACCATGGAGGCGAGTGCGGTGCACCGGCGCCCGCCGGTCCGTGTTGCTCATGCCACAACAGCCAGGCAACTAAATACTACTTGCCGCGACAAAACGATCACAGGTGCGGAAGGTCGTAAAAAGGCTATTGTATGTGCGCGCGTGCGTGTTTGTTTGTTTGTTTGTTTGTTTGTTTGTTTGTTTGTTTGTTTGTTTGTTTGTTTGTGTGCATGCATATGCGTGTATTGTGTGAGAGGTGGGCCCTTGTACGCACACGCACGCACACGCACGCACGCACACACACACTTACAATGCATGCATGCTCATGAAAGCGAGCACCGTAACGACGATACCTCACAAGACACACACACACACCTACAATAGCCGATCAAACACACACACACACAGACACACACACACACACACACACACACAGAAGCAAAGCGAAAACTCACCACCACTACCAACAACAAAACAAGGGAGCGCGGCTTTGACTGGATATGGATGGGCAGATGAGTCTTGAAGGGTTGACAACAATCCCCTCTCTTTCCTCACGCGGTGCCTTCTTCTCCTTACTCTGCTGGACGACGTGTGTGCTGCCTCGAGCGCAGCAGCAAAGCTTCGAAGCACACAACCACCCAACCTGACAGTGGAAGGAAGAGGAGTGGTTGGATCGTCAGCGTCGTCGTTTGTTGTGTGCGTGAATGTCAGGCGGTGTGGGTTGTGCTTGCTGTGTTTGGTGTTTGTGCGTTGCGCTGCGAAATGCGGGGTTGCCAACCTTCGACACCCCGAAAAAGGCAAGTTTGACCTGTTTTACTACAATTGTGACTGAATTCAGTCTATTGCGCAACGAGGTGTTGTGTCGCAACAAAACAAAAAACCACAAGGTGGCCTTTCCCACAACAACGCAGCAAGCGCGATCCACACACAATCCACGACCACCTTCGCCTGCCTCGCATCAGTATCCCCACACGCTCTCTTCACACCCTCTTCACTCTCTCTTCACTCATAGAAGCACACGCTCGCGTTCTCTCTCCTTCTCTGCACACACACATACACACAAAGGCCATGAGCAGCAACGGCACGACGTCAGCCAAAGAAAGCCCTGCAAAGGGCAAAGCATCGGCTCTGCCAAGGGCAAACGGCGGCAGGACGAACGATGTGCGCGATGCCCACGCTCGCCACCGCGAACGCGCATCGAGCGAGGGCCCACTGGAATACCCCATCATCGACGCCACGCCAGCGGAGGAGCAGGCCAGCGTGGCCAGGAGCACTCACGCAAGCGTCTCCCACGAAGAAGTCTCCTTTGAGGACGTCAGCCGCGCCAAGGTGCGTGCGTATGTGTGTGTGTGTGTGTGTGTGTGTGTGTGTGTGTGTGTGTGTGTGTGTGTGTGTGTGTGTGTGCGTTTGTGTTTATGTGTGCATGTGTATGTATGTGTATGTGTTTGTATGTTTGTGTGCGTACGTACATACGTGCATACGTATAGGTTGTGTGAGTTTGTGTGTGCGTATTTTGGGGGGCTATGCATGGCGTTTAGGTCGTGTCCTGCCACATGTCTTCTCGTTTGCGTTGCGATCGCCATTGCTCACACTTGTCACACACACACACACACACACACACACACACACACACACACACACACACACACACACACACACACACGTCATACACTTGCACACACATACACACACATGCACGGGTTCTGGTTGCAGTATCGCATTATGGATGGCGTACAGGTGACAGCGTGCGAGCTGAGCCACAACCTTTCGGCGATGACGGAGATGGAGCTGTACTTCAAGCGCGAGTATCAGCTGCGCACGGGCAGCTTCAAGGAGCGCGGCGCCCGCAACGCCCTCAAACTCCTCTCGGCCGCGCAGCGGGAGAAAGGGGTCATCGCTGCGTCGGCCGGCAACCACGCGCTGGGCCTGGCATACCACGGGCAGGACCTGGGCATCCCCGTGACGCTGGTCATGCCCGTGTTTGCGCCGCTCACCAAAGTGGAGAACTGCCGGTCCTTTGGCGCAAACGTGATCATCTCTGGCGCGCACATTGGAGAGTCCATGGTCGTGGCAAAGGAGATAGCAGAGAAGCAAGGGCTGCAGTACATCAACGGTTACAACGACGCGGCCATCATTGCCGGTCAGGGTACGGCTGGCCTGGAGATTCTGGAGCAGGTGCCCGATGTAGACGCCATCATTGTTCCCGTTGGCGGTGGTGGTCTCATTGCTGGCGTCTCTCTCGCCGTCAAGACCATCCAGAAGAACGTGCAGGTAATGGTGGTGGTGATGAGCGGTGATGAACGGTGGTGCTATGGGTGTGGTAGTGTTTTGTGTGATGTGCGTATGCATATGCATGAGCGAGAGTCTTCGCGGGTGTTTGCGATTGTTGCCTCTGTCATATGTGCGCGTGGACAAACCCTAACCGCGCCGCTTCCAACACACACACACACACACACACACACACACACACACACACACACACAACACAACACAACACAACACAACACAACACAACACACACACACACACAAACGAACAAAATGTTTAGATCATTGGTGTGGAATCTGTGGCCTGCCCCAGCTTCTCGGAGGCCATGAAGGCCGGTCACCCCGTCCCCGTCGAGGTCAGGCTACTCTCTTGCCTGCAAGCAAAGCCTGCATTGACGTGTGCTCGGGCGCCATGAAGGGAAGATGTACACACGGCCGTTTTGCATACACACTCACTCACACGCGTGCGCTGCTGACATGTGTGCATCAGGTGACGTCGACACTGGCTGATGGTCTGGCTGTGCCGACTGTTGGCGCCACCGCCTTCCACGTCGCCCGCAGCCGCGTAAACAAGATGATCCAAGTCAGGTTCGTAATTTTTTGTGTTTGTATTTGTGTTTGTTTGAATGTGTGTGTGTGTGTGTTTGTTTGTTTGTTTGTTTGTTTGTTTGTTTGAATGTGTGTGTGTGTGTGTTTGTTTGTTTGTTTGTTTGTTTGTTTGTTTGTGTGTGTGTGCTCTTCAATGCCGCCTCGAATGCCCACTGGATTCAAGTGCTCACATCCCGCCTGTGCTTTTTTCCTGCAGGGAGAAGGATGTTGCCATTGCTGTCCTCCGTCTTCTCGAGATGGAAAAAGGTACATGTGTGTGTGTGTGTGTGTGTGTGTGTGTGTGTGTGTGTGTGTGTGTGTGTGTGTGCGTTGCACGTGTCACATGCGTCATGTTTTTGCGTGCGGGTGATCATCTTGCTTGCAAGCAACTCGCCTTCCTCTCAACACTCCCCGCACCAGCCCTGCCCATCCCATCTCTGCACTGCATCATTATTCCTTCACATCCCACATCCCACACACCCCGCCGCTTCGTTCCCAAACTACCGCCCACCATCAGCGATTGTTGAGGGTTCTGGCGCCTGTGGCCTCGCTGCTCTCCTTGCAAACTACCTCCCAGAACTCAAGGTGCCAGCTGCAGCCACCATGGGGGGGAAGGGAGTGGGGTGGGGGAAGTGTTGGACATGATAGTGGTGGGGGGGGGCGGGAGGGACATGAGTGTGGTGGCCAAACGATGGTTGGGACACGTGGTACAGGTTGCTGTCAGTGCTGGCGATGCAAACACGCTCGACTGCCAAACACACACACATACACACAAACAAACAAACACACACACACACACCTGTTTTGCTCGCTTCACTTTGACTCACCTCATTGCTCCATGATGTTGCTGGTTGTGTTGCTCCCTCCCTCTCCCCCCCCCCGCCTTCGCCACCTCGCTGCCCTCCCATCCACGCAACGCCACACCAAACCACGTCAACCCCGCGTCGACCCCATACCAACGCGTGCAGGGGAAAAAGGTGGTGTGCCTGCTGTGCGGCGGCAATATCGACCTGCCTGTGATTGGGCGCGTCATTGAACGCGGTCTCGCTGCCGATGGCCGTCTCGTTCGCTTCGTCGTCTCCGTCTCAGACAGGCCGGGTGGCATTGCCCAGCTGACCACGCTCATTGCACGCGTTGGCGCGAGTGTGAAGGACATCCACCACGAGCGCGCGTGGCAGGAGAGCGACGTGATGTCGGTGCAGATCAAGTGCGTTGTGGAGACGCGATCACGGGCACACGCCGAGGAGCTACGCCAGGCCCTCGTCGAAGCCGGCTACCCGTACGTCACTTGGCCTGTCTCGTGTGTCTCTGTGTGTGTCTGTTTGTGTGTCTGTGTGTGTGTGTGTGTGTGTGTCTGTGTGTCTGTGTGTGTGTGTGTGTGTCTCCCTGCCTCTCAAGCTCACACGCACACACACACCACCTCCACCTTGCTTCTGGTTTTTGCGCAGCCTCAAATGGGGACTTGATCCAAACCCGCCAGTGATCCTTTGAACGCCATTCGGTGCCTTTGCGACACACACACACACACACACACTCTCTCTCTCTCTCTCTCTCTCTCTCTCACACACACACACACACTCACACACACACACACACTCACTCACACTCACACGCACACCACGGTGCTGAATGTTGTATAAAGTTTTCGCGTAAATTTCCGTACTTCCCGCCGCCAAACCCAAGATGAGCAGTAGTGTGCGCGATGGCGGTGGCGGCGAGGAGTTGGTGGGGAGGGAGAAGGAACTGGAGCAAGTAAGGCAGTATGTTGGGAAGCCGCACAGCCCTTGCCTTCCTGCCCTCTTCGTATACGGCACATCTGCAACTGCCAAGACTACAGTCGTTCGAACCGTCATGGAGGTGTGATCGGTGTGTGTGCTTGCACTTGTGTGTGCTTGCACTTGTGTGCTTGCACTTGTGTGTGCTTGCACTTGCGTGTGCTTGCACTTGTGTGTGCTTGCACTTGTGCGTGTGCGCATCGCCGGCCTGCCACACCCATACGACCATACCCAGATCTCAGAGCCCGCCCAAACATTTATGGTCACAACAACAACTAGGAGAGCAAGTGCAGGTATGCGATGATCAACTGCCTCGAAACGTACTCGCCGCGGGTGCTGTTTGAGCAGATCCTCAACAGCCTCAGTGGTGACACACCCACGCCAGACAACCTGTATGGCGGTCACGCTCGCTGCGACACCGTCTACAAGTTCATCAAGTACCTCAAGGGCGTGTGTGACTCACAAGAAGTGCGTATCTCCGCATACACGCGTTGTGATGATGGAAGCTGGATGGGAAGTGTTTTGTGCTTTGCGCTTTTCTCTATCTTGAGCGCACCACCACAAGCTGCTCCCCTCCGCATTCCCCTCATCATCACCATCATGATCCTCACATGTGTTTGTTTTGCTTGCACTTTAAGGACCCGAAAGCGACGGTGTACATTGTGCTCGACAACTGTGAGCGCCTGCGTCTCTTCCGCAACCACGACCTCGCCGTGTTCCTTCGCCTGCGCGAACTGGTTCGTCGTCGTGCGGGGATGGGGAGGGGGGTCGTGTGAGGAGGGTCATTTCGCTTCCCACTTCAGCATACATTCACACACACACACACACACACACACACACACACACACACACGCACACATACGCTCACACACGCCCACACGCACGCACGCACGCACGCACACACACATGCACGCACGCACATTCACACATTCACACACACGCACGCACATTCACACATTCACACGCACGCACGCACGCACGCATGCTACCCGTCAGGTCCATCGCAATGTGGGCGTGATTCTGATCAGCACCGTCATCTGGGAGAAGTTCCGCGAGGGCACGGGCTTTGCTGACCCGCTCATGGCGCACTTCCCAGCATACACAAAAGCGGAGACACTGGCCATCCTGCAGCGTCGAACACCACGCGACGTGCACCCCTCCCACTTCCGGCAGTTTGTGTCGCTGCTGTGGGACGTGTTCCACGGGCCGTGCCGCGACCTGAACGAGCTTGCGCACCTCGTCGCCCTCTTCTTCGACAAGTACTACGCACCGGTTCGCGCGGGAAAAATCAACGCAGACAACAAGACCGCGCTCTTCAAGGCAATATCACCGCTGCTGCGCGCACACTTCAGCAGCCTGTACCTGCGTGAGACGTCCACAGCGGAGTGGCTGGCCGCTGGTGCTGGTGGTGACGGTGACAAGACAGAAAGCACAGCAGCACCATCATCCGCCTCCACGACAAGCACACGCGGCGCATCGCAGGTGAGGTGACGATGCTGGTGGCGTTTGATGTTCGTCGTAGTCGTGGGTGGTGGTTGTGGTGGTGGTGGTGGTGGTGAAATGCCAAAACTAGTGGCTGTTTCTCACGCTGACACACGTTCATGCACACGCTTTTCACATGACGTTGTCGTGCGTGCCCGGTCCATATGGGGGTTCCAGCTGCACAAGCTCGAGCTTCCGTATTTTGCAAAGGTGTTGATATTGGCAGCGTTTCTTGCGTCACACAACCCGGCCCGCTCAGATCTCGCAATCTTCTCAAAGGTGCACATGCACACGCCGTGCTCTTGTGCCGTGGTGCTGTGAGATCGCATTGTTGCTGTTGTTGTTGCAGTTGCTGTTTACATCGTTGTCAACAAACATGCAAACAGCCCGTTTGTTGGTGTGCCACTCACACACTCACACACTCTCACTCACACTTATTCACACTTCTCGTGGACCTGCCCTGACGTTCTTAACACGTGCACCCATGCGCCTTGACGCGACCCAGCGCCAGCGTAAACTGAGCAAGCAACGCGGGCGATCAAAGCGGAAAGCAGCGCGACGAGCAGACACGACAGCAAAGTTTCGCCTCCCAACGTCCCCATCCACGTTCCCCCTCAGCAGACTCTTTGCCATCTTTTACAGGTCTGCTCTGTGTGTGTGTGTGTGTGTGTGTGTGTGTGTGTGTGTGTGTGTGTGTGTGTGTGTGTGTGTGTGTGTGTGTGTGTGCGTGTGTGTGTGTGCGTGTGTGTGGTTGGTGTTGCTGTTGTTGCTGTTGCGATCGATTGACTGTGTTCGCTGGCTGAAGCATAGAAACGTTGTCTTGACTCATTCCCCACTCGTGTGCTAATGCATTTCTTGACGTGCGCGTGGAACAACAACAACAACAACAACAACAACAACAACAACCACAACAACAACAACAACAACAACAACAACAACAACAACAACCCGCCCATGTTTCGATTGCACAGTTTAATGGACGAGGAAACAGATTTGACTGCGGATGTGTATTCGCACGTCAAGTCTCTCCTCTCCCTCCGTCTCCTCACCAGGGTGGGTCACATACTGTGTGTATGTGTGTGTGTGTGTGTGTGTGTTGATCACAACCTGCTCTGCCTTGTCCGTCTCTCGAATTGTCTGCCTCATGCTCACTGCTGCGCTGCATCACTCGCCGCTGCCACCACCACAGACGACGACGGATGATAACTTTGACTCGGCCAAATTCAAGGTGAGCACAGCCCGCCGTAATGGCGATGACACACACGCAGACACACACGCGCGCGCACACAACACACACACACACACACACACACACACACACTCTCTCTCTCTCTCTCTCTCTCTCTCTCTCTCTCTCTCTCTCTCTCTCTCTCTCTCTCTCTCTCTCGCTCATTCACTCACTCTCACACACCCTCTTCTCCCCCCTCGCACCCGTTTGCAGTGCACGATGGCTGCGGAGGATGTGATTGCGCTTGGGCGCTCCGTTGAAATCGACGTCGTCTCCTACCTCCACGAAGTCAACGCCTGACACAAACACGCTGCTGCTGCTGCTGCTGCTGCTGCTGCTGCTGTTGTTGTTGTTGTTGTTGTTGTTGTTGTTGTTGTTGTGTGTGTGTGTGTGTGTGTGTGTGTGTGTGTGTGTGTGCCGACTGACATTCTCGAGTGGATTGCTTGTGTTGCTTGTAACTTTAATTGAACCGCCGTGCAAATGCACTCACTTGGGGAAAAGCAGTGATAAAGTCGTCAACGAGGGCACAACGGTGCAGGAAGCCAACGAGGACGTGCAAAACGACACACACGCATCTCCAAATGACACAACCACAGATACACACACACAGATACACACACGCACACCACCACAGCTTCACACACCGCATCAGAGCTTGGCGGTGAGCTTGATGAGCCAGGCTGACGCTGCGGCAACAGCAGCGGCAATGGCGGCATCAGCGGCGCCAACAGCAGCCGGGGACCACGAAGACACGCGGCCGGCACCCGATGGCGGGCCACGCATGCCGCGCAGGTCGGGGCGGAACACATACGCAGGCGGCGGTGACGATGATGGTGGCGATGATATGCTGGCAGTGGTTGCGGCAGTGGTGGATGCAGTCTCGTGTTTGGTGCTGCTGCTGCCGGCGTTGCTGTCTGCTGCTGGTGTGTGTTCGCGCTGCTGCTTGGCGAGTTTACGCAGGTAGGGTGAGATGGTGATGTGTGGCAGCTGGTGCTTGAAGTGCTCCAGTCGCTCCACGATCGCCGCCGGCCCAAACACATCCGCATATGCCATGATGCCGCCGTACCGGGGCAGGATCCCCATCGCAAGCACTGCAAGCATGTCCACGTCGCGCGCGCTCGCAGCAACGCCGCTGTCAAGCAGGTCGCACGCCTGCAGAGATCAAAGCGGTTGCAAGTGGTTGCAGTAGGCGTGGGTGAGCACGGTTCACGTGCGGAGTTGGGCAGTTTGATGAAGGGCAAACCAGGTGTGTGTGTGTGTGTGTGTGTGTGTGTGTGTGTGTGTGTGTGTGTGAAGACGAAAATGTCATCTCACCAAGACGAACCGCGCGCCAGTTGAGCACACGTGTAAACAGCGCAACACCACGACACGAACACACACAAAAACAAATACACACGCGAACATGCACAAAAACAAACACGCACCCGCACACACGCACACACTCGCCTGGTTGACGGTTGAGAAGAGGAGAAGCTCAGTGGCATCCTGTGTGGAGAGGCGTTGCATGCGGGCAACGTTGGTGGACGCCGGGTCCGAAATCCGGACACGCGCTGCTTGCGCCGCGCTCTTGACCTGACGATTGGAGAAGCATGATGATGTGGAAACGAGGACGATGTCATGAAGCACATGAGAAGGGCGGGAACACAAACAGTTGACACGGGAATGAAACACGTGAACAACGTCGGTGGCGGCAGGTACACGGTGGCGGGACGGACGCAACCGCCATGACTGTATACAGGCACGTCATACACGCACTCCCATGTACTTGACATCCACTTCACGCACACACACTCAACAAACAACACACATCCTTCACACACCACACACACACGCCATACACACACAAACAACACACATCCTTCACACACCACACACACCATACATGCATTGCCCACAACGCGGTGGCGCCTGACCTTTGGGTTGACGCCGAGACTGACGCCGTTGCGGTAAAGGTAGAATCCTTCGCTGTCGCCCGTGGCGACACGGCCCGTGCATCCGGCCATCTGAAGATTCTGCAGGAGGTGGAGGAGGTAACGCCCACCAACGGCGCCATCACCCACCATGCCCATCATGCACTCGCACACCTTGATGGCGGTGGAGAAGGTGATGGAGTCCAGCACGGCAAAGGGCCCCGTGATGCAACCAGCGTCCTTCATTGCGCCATCAATGCGCTGGACTGATGCGCCACCAAGGACGACGGCAGCGCCGGCGGTTGCGTACCACGCCATACTCATGCGGTTCAGCAGGAACGCAGGCGCATCGCCCACAACCACAGGCACTTTCTTCATCACACCTATACGCACGTGGACGATTGCGTTGGTGGCGGTTGGCGGAACGACATGTGAGTGCTCGTGGTGCTTGACGCTCGGGGAGTGGGACAGACAGACAGACAGACAGACAGACAGACAGACAGACAGACAGACAGACAGACAGACAGACAGACAGACAGACAGACAGAGACAGACAGAGAGACAGCTACACACGTACACACACACGTACACACACACACATGCGCCATCATCAGTCCTTCCACTCCCTCGCTCTTCACCACTCCCGGCACAGGTGCATCACATCGTGCTGCATTGCGTATACCTGCGAGCTGGACCATGGCGGCACCGGTTGCATTGCTGGTGACGCCGCGGATGGGGATGATCTCAACAACAGGCGTGATGTTGCCCTCGGGATGGAAGAAGTGGAAACCAATGACGTTGGTGCGCAGGCGTTGGTCGACAGCGGCCGCGAGCCGGTGGATGGGGATGGATGACGTGTTGCTCGCAAAGATGAGCGAAGGATCGTGCGACAACACCTGTTCGACGAGCGACAACAATGGCGCGAGAGCGGTTGTGTTTGTGTGGGGTGGGGGCGGTGTTTGCGGGCGATTACGGCGATTGCGTCGTGGACACACGAAATGAACAGCCACGCACACACACACACACACACACACACACACACACACACACACACACACACACACACAAACACACACACACACACACACACACACACACACACACACACACACACAAAAAAAAACCCATCTCTGACAGCACGACGAGATGCCATCACACGACAAGGTCACCCACCCCTTCGTTCCCCCCCCCCTAACCCAATTCATCCTCCACATTTCCTCTCCCCACTCCATCGCCACCACCGCCATTACCGACCTTGGCAATGAGCTTGTGCTTGATGGCGATGTCTTCAGGCGAGCACTCGAGCACGACGCGGTGGCGGATATGGGGTGCCGGTTCGCACAGCGCAGCGAGACAGGCGTCAAGGTCCGTGGACATGAAGATAGAGGCAACCTTTTGGTCTGCCTCCTGCTGAGACATGCGGGGGCGCCGCTTCGACCCCATGTACAGCCGTGCCAGTCGCTTCCGTGCCAGCGGCAGCGCCGCCTCGATGGCATCGAAAAACAGCACCTCCGCCCCACACGCGTGCAGGTGCTGGCCGAGCCCTCCACCCATGTGGCCTGCGCCAAGCACAAGCACACGATCCACCGTGGCATTGGTGGTGGTGGTGGTGGTGTCGGTTTTGGTGTCGGTGGCGTGGAAGTGGGCTGCTGCCTCGTGTTTGAGGTCGCTGCGGCCGGCAAACAGGCTCATGAGCGCCTTGGCTTCGTGCGTGCACACGAGCGCTACATACCCTTCTGTCTCAATGTCAAACGCGCGCGTGTACGGTGCGTCCCAGCAGCGCATGACCACGTCCAGCAGGCGATATGGCGCAGGGTACAGCCGGTGGGTAGTCTTGTCCATGGTCTTGACAGCCATGCTGTACGCAATCTGTTTCTCCAGCCACGTGTTGCCAGTCACGTGCCGTGGGTACTTGCTGCTTGCGCCCAGCCGACGCAGGCGGTACACGCGCGCGGACAAGTGCGCAACCATCTCTTGCGGAGGATGCGATGGTGATGACGATGATGATGGCGATGGGGCAACAACCCAGGTCCACGGGTGTGCAGATGCGCGTGAACCATTGCTGTTGCTGCTGCTGCTGCCGCTGCTGCGGCCACCAGCGGGCACAACATCTGTGATGACGCCAAGCTTCTTCGCGCGGTGGGCGGATATGAGCTTGCCTGGAAGGATGAGCTGCATGGCTGCGGTGAGACCAATGAGGCGGGGCAGGCGCACGCACCCGCCAGCACCGGGGAGAAGGCCAATGTTAACCTCGGGCAGCCCAATCTGCTTGACGGTGTCTGCGGCGAAGCGGTAGTCGCACGCGAGCGCCAGTTCCAGCCCGCCACCCAGGGTGACGCTGTTGATGTAGCAGATGGTGGGGACGGGCAGGTCCTCGATGGCCTGGAGAACGCGCTTGAGGCTAGCGACCGCGGCGCGCGCGTCATCTTCGCTGCCGATGCCCTGCTGCAGCTTGACGTCGCCGCCGTGGCAGAAGGAGTCGGGTTTGCCGGAGCAGAACACAACCGCGACCACGGGTGCTGTTGTTGTTCTGTTGTTGCTGCTGCTGGTGGTGTTGCTGCTGGTGGTGGTGGTGGCTTGGTTGCCGCTGCTGCGGTTGATCGCACTTACTTCTGCTGCTGGCGCTGCAGCGATGATTTGTGCGACCTGTGTCACGGCATCACCGAGGGCCCGCACGGTCGCCTCGTCCAGCACATTCACGCGCTTTGCCGGCGTGTCGAGAATGATGGCCAGCGCCCGCGCAGCACCTTGCGCGTGTTCAAATGGGCCCGCGGTGCTTGCTTGTGCTAGGTCGACCTGGATTTCACGCACGTGCACCGCCGGCGGTAGGCTTGGCAATCGAGGGTCCATTTTGATACGTATTGCGGGGGGGGAGCAACGCAGCTCCTGCTGCAAGCACTGCTGAGGCCAAACAAAACAAAGGGAGAGAGTATGTATGTGGGTGTATGTGGGTGTATGTGGGTGTTTGTGCGTGTGTGTGTTTGTGTGTGTATGTGTGTGTGTGTGCGTGTGTGTGTGTGTGTGTGAATAGGTGAGCGAGTGAGTACAAGTGTGTGTGTGTGTGTGTGTATGCACAAATGTGTGTGGAGGGGTGTAGGTCGAGTGTGGGCTTGATGTACGATCGAGGCTGATTGCGTTGTGATGATGGGTGGGCGAAAAAAAAAAACACTGCCCCGCAAGCTAGGATTGGTTGCTGAGGAAGTGCGCGTGTGCGTGCGTACACATATGTGTGTGCTTGTGCATGCAAAGGGTGTTTGTTTGTAAAGGGTGGGTGATGTTCTTTGTCCAGCCACCTAACGTCTCAAATTGAACAACACAAATCAACCAAGAGTCCAGGGAGCCTTCGGCGGGAAGTGGACAGTGGCCACCGCACTTCCTTCTTGGAGGAGTTGGCAGCTTCACCAGCGGTCGTCACAACATTCACAGCCAGATTGCGCCCGCCTTGCTGGTGGTCATCAGTGAATGCCGTGTGGACCAGCAACACGGGCCACAACCAGCAACACGGGCCACAACACACTACACAACACTGCTCGAACAAACAACAAACAGACACACGAACCAAACAATCAAACAAAGCGCCACTGCGCACGCGTGTACCTCGATTGAAATGAAACTGGGCGGGATTGGCGTCAGTGACTCCGTTGTCGAGGAAGGGAGGGTAAGAGGCGGGAGGCACCAGCGCTTGACTAGCAAACAACCAAAACAACCAAACAAAAGGCAACCACGGACGGTGCAGACCTGTCTGCTTGCTTGCGTGCCAGCAGCACAGAGGACAAATGGTAGCTGCTTGCAACAGCACAAAATGTATTGGTACTACCGCGTTGCGTCATGCACACAACAATCGTGCAATAACAGACAAACAGGCAGGCAGAACCACGAGTTGTCCTCGCGACCCAGGCTATATGCCCACACGTCATCCACGATTGCTTGCACCTCCGCACGTTGCTCACGCTGGAACAATGTAAACACAGCAAACACAACAGCAAACACAACAGCAACGCAACAGCAAACACAACAGCAAACAACCAAGGGACTTGCATGACGTGACTGACGCACGACACAACCACCACAGCAAAACGCCAAAGAAGCCAGAGCAGCCAGATAAAAGGGGCATACGCAGATTGCATGCTCACAGCATACCTGCATGCGCTTTCTGGCGCTATCGCCACCTGCCTGCCTGCCTGCCTACCTGCCTACCTGCCTGGCTGTCATCATGAAGGGTGGTGCAATGGTTGAACGGTTGAGCAATGCATGCGAGTAAAGCAAGCAACCCCACCAGTCGGGTGAAGTGAAAGCAAGCAAGCAGGCAAGCAAGGTTTGTTTTGTTTTGTTGATGTGGGGTTGCTGACATGCTTTGTGCTGTTGTGCAGGGCAAGTGCATTGATGACGACTTCTTGCATGTGTGCTTGCGTCGGCGTTGGTTGCTTGTGTTTCGTGAACACGAAGGCAGCCGAAACTTCCCCTTGTTCTCTTCGGCTTGCTTGCTCGCCTTTTTTTGCTTCTGTGCCTGTGCCCGTTGATGTTTGTTTGCTTCTTTGCCCATCATCACGCATTTGGCAGCACTTCCACAACCCACAACAACGCGCAAGCAAGCTCGACGACACCCCCAAGCTCGTGCTCGTGAACCTGCAGCAGGTTGTACCAAACGTCGATCCCAGTCGTGGTCATTTTCCCGCACTTTCCGATCGCGACAACACCCCCGTCTCCGCCCTCCCGACCTCGCTACATTGCAGCACACATCTGCACGCCATCAGTCACGACAGCAAGCAAACAAGCAAGCAAGCAGGGCACACGCTCACCCCTCGCCTCAGTTAATCAGCTGATCCGATCACACACACACACACACACACACACATACGCACACATACGCACACATACACAGAGACAACATCGACAACCCCCCCCCCCCATTCCCTGTCGAAACCCAAACAAACCGACCCTGGAGCAGAGATTACGAGCGACCGCAACAATAGCAAGAGCAGCCCGACCAAGACCGCATCAAATCGGCTCTTTCCTTCCGTCGATCCACAGCAGCAGCAGCAGCAGCAGCTCTCTACCACAGCTCGACAAAAGCTTCAACGTCAACAACCCCACGCAACCCTGGCGTTTGTCATTTTCCCTTTCCCCATTTCATTCCCCATTGGACTGCACACATCAGCTGAGCCCTTGAGCCGCTTCTCAACAGCCTCCCCTTGTCCCAGCCGTTGTTCCGTCGTCCCCCATATCAAGCTCAGCGCAGGACACCCGCAGCCACACAGACAGCCACACACGCACACACGTGGCGGGCGAACAATACGCCGCGTTGTGCCGAGGCAGTTGGCCTTTGTCGCATTCGCCTGTCATCGCCCAACTTCACCTTCTCCCACGAGCACAACCTCCCCCAAATCAAGAAGACCTAAACATGGACCACCCAGCAGCAGCACGCAACTCACACAGGCACGTAACCAATTTCATGTGCATGTTGGTTTGTTTGTGTTTTGCCTCTCTTTTTTTTTTCTCCTTCCGCTCCCCTTGCATTCGTTTCGGGAGAGGAGGCAGAGATGGGCTCGTGTGCTCTTTCATGTGTGTTCTGTGTGTTGCACCCAGCACTGCGCCGCCACAGCACCACAGCAGCACAGCCCTTGTGCGCCCTTCTTTCTCCCTTCTCTCTTTGTTTGCTTTTCCGTGTTTGTGTTTGGTGTTGTGTTCGTGTTTGGTGTGTGTGTGTGTGTGTGTGTGTGTGTGTGTGATCATACACACACACATCCAACACATCACGTAACACATACACGCACGCACGCACATACACACACGCGCACGCGCACGCAAGCCACGCCAACAGCACGCAAGCAAGCGTGTGTGTTTGCCGTTACTATTCTTGGCTGGGCGCGTGCGTGCCGCCGAGTGTTTGTATCCCGTCTGAGGGCGGCTGGTTGGCTTCTTCCCTTGCATCTTCCTTCTCTCTCCTTCTTCCCTCCTTCTCTCTCCTTCTCTCTCCTGCCCTCCTTCCCTGCTCTCTCTCCCTTCCGTTCCATCGCTTTCGTGCCCAAACCCCTTGGCGAAACACGCGTGTATTGGGTGTTTCACGAACAGCCTACCTACGCACACCCTACCTACGATGCATGCAAGCGCCTACACGCACACACATATCCCCACCCATTTTAACACGCACCCACCTGCTCACACCCAAACGCTCTCCTCCTCTCCCCCTTGCGTTCTTCGTTCTGCGTGCTGCCTTCACCCGTCTCTTACCTCCACCCCCCGCTCCCACACACGCACACACTTGTTGCATCTCCACCTTGATTCCACCAACCGCTCTTTTTCAACCGCGCGCACACACACACACCTGTGTACGCGCGCACCCATTGCACTGCATCACACAACACCTCCTCCTCCTCCACAACCGCTCTCCTTTATTCTTCCTCCTGCGTTTGTTCTCTCGGCTGCCCTCCCCCCCCCCTCGCATGTGCTTCCGCTTTCCGCTACTTGAACACAGGCTCTCGCCACCGCACATTTCCCATGCAACCCACCTCGAGACCACCTCCCTTCCACAAGCCCCCTGCTACACCAACCAATACCAGCCCACCCCGGCATCCTGCCTTCGTGAGTGCCCTCTTGCCTGCACGTTACCCACTGCGCTTCCTCATCTGTGTGCATGTGTGTGTGTGTCTGCATGGTATTCAGCGCACGAACCGCCACACACACGCACACCCATATGCGCACACACACATGCACCTCGCCTGCTCTGGTGTTCAGCCTCCCCCTTCCCTTGATTTCCTCACCCACCCATCCCAGTCTTGCATGCCACCATCATCACTCTTTCTCATCCTCACATATGGCTCTTACTTCGCCCACTCACCCTCTCTCTTGCTTCACCCCCCCCCCCTCCCGGCCCATTGCTTCGCTGCCACCTCGCCTTGCAACATCATATCCCTCCACTTGGCACACGGACGTCCACCTCCGCCTTCATTCCCACGCGCTTCGATTTAACACACACACGCGGGCGCACGCTCCTCTTCCATCCATTCCACCCGCCCTCCCTTCGCTTATTCCTTCCCCCCCCTTCCTCAAATCCCCTCTCACCTCTCACCTCTCATTGCAACGGCAACAGCAGCACCAATAGCTACAGCGCCAACGTTCGCCCTCCCCTGCGCAGAGGAGCCATCGCTTGACCGCCTCTCGTCAGACGTAACGGCAGCGGGTCCCAGCGCGCTCTACGCGTTCCTTGTCAGCTGGGCCGCCTCCCAAGGCAACAGCGGGACCAGGCTGTCAGTGCGTGACTTGGCGCAGTTCTTCCAGCGGCAACACGACGACAACGAAGTGTTTGCTCTCCCTGAACTTGAGTCGCACGACCACGCCGACAGCAGCACCTACCTTGCTGGCCCCATTTCGCCCAGCAGCAGCAGCAACAACATCAACAGCAACAACAACCCCGCCAACAACCCCGCCTCCGCCATCACCGCCATCGCCACGGACCGCAGCGACCTGAACGGCAGCAGCACCCACCACTGCCACAACAGCTTCTACGCTCAAGGCAACGAGTGCGACCACCACGACGACAACGACGACGACGACGACGCAGCATCGAGCGAGATGGGGTTTCCACAGGCGCTGCTGCAGGAGGACGGGGTCACCAACTTCTCCGTCGGCGGCGGTGCGAGCATGCCTGCAACCGATGACGAGCACGATTCGGATGTTGCCGAACACGAGCCCGCGTCCCCACCGCCAGCCAGCACCACCCACGACAACGACGACCACGACCACGACCACAACGACCACAATGACAACCGCGATGGTGGCTGCGACTATGCCGACCGCGGTGGCGTTATAACCGCGACTTCAACCGCCATCGCAAGCAGCGGCGCCAGGCACAGCGGATCGTCGCTGCTGTCGTCTGGACTCGACGACGACGATGACAGCGGGGCATACCGCCAGTATACCAATGACATGGACACGTACATGTGCGACGATGCCATGCTCACCCCGGTGCACACGAGCGCGGGCCGGACAACAGCCGCCACGCGCGTGCCGCCTGCGTCTGCCATGGACCAGCCGTTTCTGCTGCACGGCGGCGGCAATGCGTGGATGACCACGACCACGGCCTCGACGACGACGATGCGGACGACAACGGCGCCGGCCACGTCATGCAACGCCGTCACGTCGATGGCGACAGATGGCAGCATGCTGGACGCGTTCGGCAGCAGCCCGCAGGGCCGAACCCCAGCTGCTGCTGCCATCAACAACGAGGCCGACACCAACGACGACGGCAACACCACCAAGGCCATGGGCAGGGACGTCAACGGTGGATACAGCGGTAGCGGTGGCATGATGGCCATGGCATCACCGGGCGGCTTCCCATCCGACTTGCCCTTGCATCTGAGCGGAACAACAACCCCCACCGCGCGTGCCGTCACGAGTGCCGGGCCGATGATGACGGCGACGACGCTGCCGAGCGATGTGCCGCCGCTGCATGGCGGTGTTGCGCCATCAAGCACGGCAGACATGATGCCGCCCATGAACATGTATCTGGGCAACACCAACAACCCGTTCTCCACCAACGAGAACAATCTCGACTTCCTCACGGACGACCTTGCTGCTGCAGAGTACGGGCAGGGCATGCCATCGGCTTCGGGCGCAAACACCGCCGCCACCATCGCGCCCAGCACAACCGCCGCCACCGCAGGCATGGGTGGCCTGGTTGGCTTTGATGCGCCAGACTTTTCCTTCCCCGTGGGTGTGTCCGTATCCCCACCTGGTGAGCATGCCATCCCACCGCACATGGCATTTGTGGACAGCGCCGCCACAGCATCCCAGTTTGCGCATCGTGCCTGCAGGCAACACCAACACGGCGACGACGACGACGACAACGACGACGACACGGCGTGTGACGGCGATTGCGACGGCAGCGGTGGCGGCCAAATGATGGACGAGCGACACGACCACGATGACGGTAGCGCCGCCAGTGATGACGACGATGGTCATGGCGGTGGTCATGGCGATGGACCGCAGACAAAGCGCGCAAAGAAGACACCCAGCAGCAGCGGCAGCACTGGCAACAGCAAGACGCGCGGCAACAAGAAGCGGGGAACCAACAGCGGCAGTGGCGGTGGCAAGCGCGGTGGCAGCGCCTCCAACAACAGCAGTGGCCACCAGCAGCAGCAGCAGCAGCGCGTTCGTCGCAACGACCCCCGCCGGCTGCTGCAGACGCACATGCAGACAATGCCGCGTGAGAGTGTGGTGAAGATGGCACAGCTCATTGCCGACCGCCACCCAGCGGCGGTGCAGCCGTGCGCAGAGTCGGCCGTGTTCACCGTCAACTTTGATGTCATCCCTGAACCCTCACTGCGACAGCTGCTGCAGATTGCAAAGAAGGAGCCCAAGCTGCACAAGCTCTCCACATCGCCGCACATGGGCCGCAGGAACGCATCGAAAGTCTGCGACTCGTGCAAGACCACAAAGTGCGTTCGTTGTACTTGTTGTTGTTGTTGTTGTTGTTGTTGTTGTTGTTGTTGTTGTTGTTGTTGTTGTTGTTGTTGTTGTTGTTGTTGTTGTTGTTGTTGTTGTTGTTGTTGTTGTTGTTGTTGTTGTTGTGTGCATGCACCTGCTTCAGTCGCATGCCCTTGCATGACTGCACGTTCCCTCCGCTTGACGCTCACACATCCACCTTCAACCCTCCCTCCCTCCCCTTCCCCTTTCTCTTTCTCTTCCTTCCGTTCACAGAACGCCCGTGTGGCGCGAGGTGGACAACCGCTACTTCTGCAACGCATGCGGCCTTCGCTACCACAAGCTCATGTTCCGTTGCCCGAACCCAAAGTGCCGCTACGTGCCCCACCACGCAGACCTTGGCAAGGAGTGTGGCCGCTGTGGCCTGCAGCTACCGAGCGTGCCTGTCAAGCCCGTCAGGGCCTAAGGCTACACCCATTTCTTGAGTGGTTGTTCATGTATGCATGTGGATGTGCAGTGTGTATGCATGTGATTGTACAGTGTGTGTGTGTGTGTGGTTGTACCATGTGTTCGTGTCTGGCGTGTGCCCTCGTTTTTCGCCACCCTCAATTGTTTCTCTCTCCCTCTTTCGTGTCTGTGACATTCCCTTGCTCCCTCCCTTGCTCCCTCAATCCCCCCCCCAACCCCTCTTCTCTACTCCAAACCCACTCCAAACCTCTCTTCTCTATGACATGGCCTGGAAGCGTTACTCTTGTCTTCTCACCAATGTGTGCAACTGCCAACACATCCTAACACACACTGCACACGTCTCTGTGTTCATCACGAGTCGTTTCAGCAGTCTTAATGTTATGCAATGCTGACTGAGGGGTGCTGGTCGCCTGCTTTCTGACCAGTGCACCTCCAACCCCCTCTGTCTCCCTCTTTCCCCTTGCTTCTCTGCTTGCCATCCCTCCTCTCTGCCTTTTCCTCTTACGGCTCCTACCATTTCCCTCCCTACCCCATCTCTCGTCCTACCCCATCTCTCGTCCCCTACACCTCCCCCCCCCCAGTTCCAAAAGCATCTTGCTTGCCCTCTTGGTTGTGCTGGCGTGGTGTGGCGGTATGTGTGCGTGCGCTGTATGATGTGATGCGCCGCCACTTGCCGCAAGCCGCGCTCACAGCAGCGTTTGCCCTTTTCCCCCTTTGCCAAGTTGTGAGCATGGTTACTCATTCTCCCGCCCATGTGTGCATTTGTCTGTGACATAACACAACTTCCCAGCTCACACGCAACACACACGATGAGACTGTTGTTCTCTTCATATCACCTGATGTGTGGGTGCCCTCGTGTTTGTATTCGCTCGCCACGTGATGCCTGCATCGTTCATTCCTCTTGCCCCGCGTCGCTTACGCCCGCCAAACTTTCAAGCTATTGTTCTGCCCAAGCGCTGTGGCTGGTGGCTAGTTGAACACGTGTGGTGTGCTGTCAACACACGCTCCTGTTTTTGTTTCTGTTGGACGATTCACTTATTTCATTTCCCGTGTGCGCGTGTGCGTTCAAGGCTGGTTGCTGCTTCATGTTTCATGGTCGCATTGAATGAGTTAAACGGAATGTAACAAATTCACACCGAGATGGGATTGCAATTGAGCAGCAAAGCGCCCGCCAGACAGTTGAAGAAAGTATGAACCAATGTTAAGAGCAATGATGATGATGTACACTCGCACCAGGATGAACGCGCACATCACACACACACAGAGCACACATCGCATCACCCAACGCACGCGCACATTCGCACCAAACACATAACACAATGCACCATCATGTCACACCGCTACCACACACACGCACACACCACTTCACACAACAAGCAACACAATCTTCCGCATGATGTCATTGAACCGTTTCGACTTTATTATGGCTTGCCACGTTGGAGCGTGATGTCAAAGACACACCAGCACGACCCACGGACACACGCGCGTAACAAAAGCACACGTCAATCAAACAAGGCTGAAGCAAAGGGGGTGGTGATGTGGGCGCAGACGTGACAATGACGAAGAGACAAAGGGGGAAGGCACGAACTGTAAAATTTCATCAAATCAAGTCATCGCTGGAACAGCGAACAAACACACGGAAAGACACGCGCCTTCATGGCTTTCTAAGATCGAAAAAAGCAACATACACACACATGCACAGGAACACTTGATTGACAAACAAGCACACACACACACAACCCCATCAAACTCCTTCATGACTACATGCACAACAAACAGACAATGCACTTGTAGGAAGGAAACGAGGATACGAGCATGTGCGAGGCAATCGGATAAGAACAACCAGTCGAGACAAATAGGAGAGGAAACTGCAAAGCCACGGAAACATACACGAGAGAAAAGGGGGCGGAGGCTGAAGCAAACACGTGGAATCAATGGAACCCTAGATACCTAAACAAGATGATGGCCATGGTGATGGCGATGAGAGCAACACCGCAACAGCGCGAGTTGGTTTGGACACGAGGAAACAAGGAAACGGAGAAGCTTGCCGGGTCAATGCGTGCGTGCGTGCGCACAAGCGCGCAAGCCGCAAAACCAACACCGGTGTGTGTAATGCGGTGACACAAAGGCCAGCCGAAGAGATAGAGGGGCGTGATAGCAAGGGGGAGAGAGTGTGTGTGTGGGAGAGAACATACGAGCTAAGTAACACACAACAAAGGACGTGTGCGCTGCAGCGTTAGCTGTGAGCCAGTGCAGTGATTCCCTCTAACGCATCGCGCTCCTGGTCACACAGGGAGGTGGTGGACCCAAACGTGCTGGACGGGGCAGAGGCACGGCGCAGGCTGCCGTTTGGGCCCTCGTGCAATAGCGACAGCGCCTCCACCACGTCGACAGTCGTTTCGCCGAGTGTCAATCGCATCAGCTCGCGTCTTGCGGCTTCAGGCTCGTGGTCTGGTGAGAGAAGTGGGGGGGGGGAAGACATTGTGTGCGTGCGTGTGCGTGTGAGTCTGTCTGTCTGTGTGTCTGTGTGTCTGTCTGTGTCTGTCTGTGTCTGCGTGTCTGCGTGTCTGTCTGTGTGTGTGTCTGTGTGTGTGCGTGTGTGTGTGTGTGTGTCTGTGTGTCTGCGTGTGTGTGTGTGTGTGTGTGTGTGTGTGTGTGGCTGTGTGTGTGTCTGTATGTGTGTTGACACAAACAAACAACAGATGCAAATGGAAGACGGAGACGGATAACCAAGCAAATATGTTTACCTTGCAGGAAGCGGGCGGCGTGTGCGAGGACCTGAATTGCGTTGCTGCCGTGATGATCGCTGGCAGGGGAGAGCGAGCTGTCGCTGTCCGCTGATCCGCTGTCTGTCGCCGACGGAGAAATGGACCGGTTCATCGGGAACACTGCATTGGGGACAAGACAACAGAGTGAGGAAAGAATAATTTGCGGGGGCATGAAGCAGGCATGATTCTGTCTGCTTGTGGTGTTGCGTAGGCCGTTGTGCATGGAATGGAGGCCCCACGTGTGTTGAAGAAATGACCACTCAAGCGCAACAATACAGCACAACCACAACCACGTCCACAACCACAACGACACTCACACCCAAAACCAAATTTACGATCTTAGCATCACAATTACAACCACAACCACGTCCACAACCACAACGACACTCACAACCAAAACCAAATTTACCATCTTAGCATCACAATTACAACCACAACCACAGCCGCAATCACAGCAGCAACAGCACGCACCGAAGCCAGCCTTGCCCTTTGGTCCCGGTGGCAGCACGGCGTCAGACTCTGAGCGGCTGCGGGCGGAGCGGGACGCGCGCTTGCGACGGCGATGCGCGGGGCGGGGTGCTCTGCTCGTGGATGCGCTTCGCGACTTCTTCGCACAGGGCCGGCCGTCTGTGTCCACCATATCTGCAAACGCATCAGCGCCCTCCTCCTCCTCCTCAAAGGCATCGTCGTTGTCTGTGTTGTCGTTGCTGTCCATGCTGAACGAGGGGCGTGGCCGGCGCGGATTCAAGAAGCGCCGTCGCGATGATGACGACGATGATGATGATGGTGTTGCTGTGGACGAGGAGAACGCGGCTGCCGACGCTGCGGAGAGCTGGGTGAGGGTGTGCGCGGTCTGCTCGTCTGCGTTCTGTGGAGTGTAGACGTGGTGGTGCATGAAGGCGCCTTGCTGGTCTGTTGCCGCCTCCTTGCTCATCTTGGGGCCGTCAACCATAAAGTCGGGTGCGCGCAGGATGGGCCCGAGGTGCGATGTGGACCGTGACTGGCGCATGGGCAGGCCGGTGCGGGCGGCCTCTTGCTCGCGCTGCTTCTGCAGCTTGCGGCGGCGCATGTTGGAGTTCCAGTGGTTCTTCACGGCGTTGTCCGTCCTGTTCAAGCGTGTATGTGTGTGTGTGTGTGTGTGTATGTGTGCATGTGTGTATGCGTATATGTGTATATGTGTATGTGTGCATGTGCGTGTGTGTGTATATGTATGTGCGCGTTTGTGTGTGTGTGTGTGTGTATGTGTATGTGTGTGTGTGTGTGCGTGAGCGTGTGTGACGGGGGAGGGGTGCGCCGGATCGGATGCAACACCGGAGAAAAGGAGAAACAGCGGGAAGATTGGGGGGGGGATGACAGCACAGGAAGTGGGCACCAGCAGGACGGAACAGTCATTTTGATTCAACAGGATACACACATGCATGCACGCATGCATACACACATACAAACAAAAATGTAAACAAGAATCCAAAAGCACACACACACACACCACACACACGCACACACATATACACACACAAACACACACACACACACACAAACACGCATTCAAATCAAACCACGCCCACACCTTCCGGGGAGAAGCTTGGCAATCTCTGCCCACTTGTTGCCGAGCTTCTTGTGGGCATCCAATAGGATGCGCTCCTCATCATCTGACCAGGCGCCCTTCTTCACAGAGGGGTCGAGGTGGTTGTGCCAGCGCTCGCGGCACTGCTTGCCCACGCGTGTCTTCATCTTCTTGGCAATCTCTGACCAGTTCTTTGCGCCGTGTTCCTGTACCAACTGGTGCAGGAGGGTATCCTCCTGTGTGTGTGTGTGTGTGTGTGTGTGTGTGTGTGTGTGTGTGTGTGTGTGTGTGTGTGTGTGTGTGTGTGTGTGTGCGTGTGTGTGTGTGTGTGTGTCGGTCGTCGCATGCATGAGTGATGAAGGTACACAGGAGTGATGCAAGCACGAGTGGTGCAGCCATGGCACTGCAATAACAACCGCAAAACACACACAACAATGCTGCAAATGCAAAGTAACAGTTGCAGAGCACACCCACCATGGCAACATCTCCAACCATCATCAAAGCACCAAAGCACAACAGCCCATCTATCGTCATGATCACGGATCAACAGCCCGCACCTCTTTGGTCCATGGGCCCTTTTGGATGGTCGGGTTGTGCATCTTCTCCCAGCGCTGGAGGCACTGGTTCTGCGAGCGGGCATAAAACAGGTTTGAGACGGCAGACCAGTTGTCGGTGCCGTAGAGGGTGATGGCGTCACGAAGAATGGTGTCTTCCTCCGGCAGCCACGACTTGGACTGCTTCTGCATCTGCACCTCCATGACGCGCTGCACGAGGTCCTCCAGGGTGTGCCCGGCGCGGACTTGCTCTGGCGTCCATGACTTGAGGGCGGTGACAAACGGGCCCGCACGTGCGGCACCCGTCTCACGCTTGCCAGCCTTGCTCATCGTCGATATGAAATGCGTGGATGGCGGGTATGCGTTGTTGATTGCAGATTCGGCGATGCTGGTGGATGGATGGATGGATCGCTCGATGGCTTGCTCGTCTGGCTGATTGGGAGCTGTGGATTGGCTTGATGTGCGGTTGCTATGAATGCGAAACGGACCGTGCGAAAGGAAAAAGACGTGCGTGCGTGTGTGTGCGACGTGATGTGGGCCGTGAGCGGAGGGGATCAGAGACAAAGGAAGAGAAGGGATGGTGATGCTGGACTGTATGAAATGGTTGATAGCCCTGATGCTGATGCTGATGCGAGCGTTGGTGCTGGGTGTTGTTGGTGCAGACGTTGGTGTGGTGTGGAAAGGAAAAGGGGGGAGGCCGCCGAGGGCTGACAAAACACAAGAGGGGGCTGACAGAAAAACTGCCGAGGACGAGAAGGGAGCAACACACGAGAGCAGGCAAGCAACCACAAACACACACGGAGAAGGTCCTGTGGGCGATGAGTGTGGAAACAGCCAAACAGGAGCAAAAGAATGAAACACGCACCGTACCGTTATCAACAGCCGATGATGGGAGGCGGTGTGTGTGGGACGCGAAACACTTGTGGATGCGGCGGTGGAGATTTGGGAGGGGGAGGCAGCACGCAAGTGGGGGGGGGGGGCTGTCGTGGACGCTGGTATGCGAGAGATGGAAGAAGGAGGGTTGTGCGTGGTGTGGCGAACGAAACACCACGAACCAAACACCAAACACCAAACACGAAACACCAGACCAAAACCGGATGGATCACGCGCAGAGACAAGACGGCACACGTGTGTGTGTGTGTGTGTGTGTGTGTGTGTGTATGTGTGTGTATGTGTGTGGTTGGATATGGGCGGAACAGGTCAGGGCAGCGAATGCGGATAGGGTGCGGCAATGGAAAGGTGGCGGGGTGGAGGAAGGGCAACAGAACAAGAGCACGGAAGGAGAGGCAAGAAGAGGGGGAAGGCAGGAGGGAAAAGGAGGATGGTGATGCTATGGAGGGAGTGTGTGGAATGTGGCGAGGAGAGCGATGCTTGTGTGGCTTGTGTGTGGCGTGTGGCTTGGTGTCTGTTACGTGCGCGAGCAGCAGGCGCAAGGCGATGGGAGGAAAGGCAACGCAACGGGCACAGCACGACGGTTTTTCCGCACAGCAAGGGAAGAGGACGGGGCGGGCGTCGTTTTTTTTTTTCTTTTGTGTTTTGCGAATTTTTTAATCAGCTGAGCGCGAAATTTTTCGTCGCCAAGACAGTGCCGCCAGCGCGCCAAAACTGGGGGAAAAACAGATCAAGGAAAAGACAACACAAAACGTAGTGTGTGATGTGTGTGTCTGTGTGTGTGTGTGTGTGTGTGTGTGTGTGTGTGTGTGTGTGTGTGTGTGCGTGTGTGTGTGTGTGTGTGTGTGTGTGTGTGTGTGTGTGTGTGTGTGTGTGTGTCTGTGTGTGTGTCTGTGTGTGTGTGTGTCTGTTTGTGTGTGTGTGCGTGTGTGTGTGTGTGTGTCTGTTTGTGTGTGTGTGTGTGATGTGTGTGCGCGTGTGTGTCTGTGTGTGTCTGTGTGTGTGTGTCTGTCTGCCTATCCCTCTGCCGCTCCGTCGCTTTGTCGCTCTGTCACGAACGCACACATGCATACAAACGACCAAAACACCAAAGATCATCGTGTACATTGACATGCTTCAATGGAGACGCCAGAAGCTCGGCATCAAAACAAATGAGGGAAAGCACTGAGAATAACAACAATGCAACAAGGGGAAGAGTAACACCTGCCTAAAATGTAGACGCGTGTGCACATCATGCGAGGGGGCGCCGACAACGGGGAAGGGAGACAGGAAGACGGGGGGGGCGAGGGGAATGGGAAGAATGAAGAAAACGGCAAAAGGGAGACAGGGAGAGACAGAAGAAGAGGGGGGCAGAGGGGGCAAGAAAAGAAGAAGGGAGAGAACTTACATATACACACTCTCATATACGTGTTCACACGCGCACACACACGTGTTCACACGCGCACACACCCGCACACACACACACATACAAACACCCGCGCCCATACGCACACATACACACGCACACAAACACATCCATACGCACCTGCACGCACGCAGGCTAGTAGTATTTGAGGGAGGAGAGAAAGGCTGAGAGGGCAGCATCAAACCCAGACGCTGCTGCTGCCGCTTGCACTTGCTGCTCCTGTAGCTGTGTCGCCGTCACGGCATCTGAAGCCTCCTCCTCCTTCCCTGATGATGATGATGAGGATGGTAATGGCTGCATTGTAGTTGTTGGTGTCATTGGCACGTGGAGCTCCGCCAGGGGATTCCTCACCACGTGCGGCACGTAAATCTGTCATCGGTTGCGATGTGATGTATGTGAATGCATGTGTTGTTAGAGAGAGTGTGTGTGTGATGTGTACGAGTGTGAATGTGTGTGTGTGTGTGTGTGTGTGATGTGTGCGAGTGTGAATGTGTGTGTGTGTGCGAGTGTGTGTGTGTGTGTGTATGTGTGTGTGTGTGCATGGGTTACAGGAAAGGTGGCGACACAAACACACACACACACACGAGAGCATGCATGCACCGAGTGAAACACAGCAGCAGGGCTTCTCGCTACCAACAACAACTGCAGCAATAACAACTGCAACAGCCACAGCGATGCCATTCGCTCACGTGTGCGAAGATGTGTTCGAGGTCGCGGTCAATGTTGCCGACGGAGAGGTCGGTGCACATGACAAACTTGAGCCCGGTTGGTGTTTCAAAGCAGTGCAACTTGTACGTCGCTGTCTTGTATGACCGAAACCGCTTCCTGCTCACATGTGAGCGTGAGCAGAGAGGGAGGGGGTGAGGGGGTGAGGGGTATGGGGGAAAAGGGTGTGTGTGGTGGGGGGGGGGTGAAAGAGAAACGTGTGCCCACATCAAGCAGGTGGTGTGCGGGTGTGTGCGCACGTGGTCGATGACCCAACAACAAACGAACTAACAACAAGCACAACAAGTGCGTGGAACAAGGCACGCGCTGTGACGGACTTGTCGTTGGGTGAGATCTTCTCTGCGAACTTTTTCAACGAGTACAAGAGGCCATACAGCAACTGCGTCAAGGGAACACGAGCACATGCAATATGCACAGTGTGTGTGTGTGAGCAGGTGCACAAGAGCCGCGACTCATCCAGCAAGCGTGCACCCAAACGAGGGAGGTTGCAGAGAAGAGAGAAGGAGAGCAAGACCCAGACAAAGAGGGTGCGAGACACTGACAAAGAGGGTGCGAGACACTGACAAAGAGGGTGCGAGACACACACAAACACATATGCACACACATACATGCACACAGACACACACACACACACACGCACAAACACCTTGTCTGTGTCGCTGCGTTGTTGCTTCGATCCTCGCTTCAAGTCCTTCTGATACAAACAAACGCCTTGGCGATTGTACAGGTAAAAGTTGTAGATCATCGCTGCAGCGAGGACGAGGACGAGGGCTGGACTGAACTGGACTGGAGAGTAAGCGAGCCACGCAAGGACACAAGGAGTGCCGTCGACACACCGCGGAGGGGCGGGCAGGTGACAGCAGCGCAGGCGACAGCAGCTGCTTCAGGGTCGACTCAGTCGTGTGTGTGTGTGTGTGTGGGCGCGAGTTTTCAAAATCAATCAACCATCAAACAGCAGCAAGCAATAAGAGAGTGCACGAGGGGTGGATGTAGAGGCACGCACCACACATTCCAGTACTGCACCACCCATTGTTCACCGTTGCTTGGCAGGCCTGTGCTGCAACGTTTTGCTGCTTTGGCCTTCGCTTGCCCTTCTTTGCCACCACACCCGAGCACCCCGCCGCTGCACGCCATGGCTGCCGTGATGAAGCAGAAGAAGCAACAGCCGCCCAACTACGCCAAGTTCGCCTTTGGCGGCCTTGCCGGGTATGATGGTTGGAAGAGAGAGGGGAGGACCTTGCTTGATGGCGTGTGTCTGTCTGTGTGCATCTGTGTGTCTATGTGTCTGTGTCTGTGTCTGTGTCTGTCTGTGGCTGTGTCTGTGTGTGTCTGGCTGGCTGGCTGGCTGGCTGGCTCTGGCTCTGTCTCTGTCTATCTGCAATTGTGTGTGTGTCTGTGTTATCTGCTTGGCCGTTACGGACCGGCTCAATGACGCTGCGCTTCACTCATGCAACCTGCCCCCCCCCCACACACACATGATAGGATGGGTGCCACGTTCTTCGTGCAGCCGCTGGACTTGCTCAAGAACAGGATGCAGGTGGCTGGGGGACGCGTGAGCTTTTTCACCATCGTCGGTAACGTCATCAAACAAGAAGGCGCACTCGCCCTTTATACTGGGTTGGTGGTGGTGGTGTGTGTCTGTGTGTGTGTGTGTGTGTGTGTGTGTGTCTGTCTGTCTGTCTGTCTGTCTGTGTCTGTCTGTGTGTGCGTGTATGTGTTTGTCTGCGTGGGCATGTGTGTGTTTGTATCTGTGCATGTGTTTCCGCACCTCCTTCCTACCTGCCAACCTTTCCATCACTTCCACTCCCATTCACGTGTCTCGTCTCCCATACCAGCCTGTCTGCGGGCCTGCTACGACAGGCAACGTACACAACCACCCGTCTCGGCGTCTACAACATGCTCCTCGACAAGGCCATGTATGCTGATTGAGCCTGCTGAGCAGGATTGGTCCTGGCGTCATCCCTTGCCTCGATGGCTCCCTCACTCACTCACCCACCCATTCGCACTCGCTCATTCACTCATTCAATCACTCACTCACTCACCCACCCATTTGCACTCACTCACTCATTCACTCACTCGCTCACTCACCCACCCATTCGCACTCACTCAATCACTCACACACACACACACACACACACACACACACACACACACACACACACACACACATATTGCCAGGACGGCGAGCGACGGGGAGCTATCGTTTGCGTCCAAGGCCGGCATTGGGCTGACAGCCGGTGCTGTTGGCGCCGTTGTCGGCACTCCCGCCGAGATTGCACTCATCCGTATGTCCTCCGATGGAAGGTGCGCTGTACGCAAGTGATGTATATGGAGAGAGACACGTGCTCCAGAACACCTGCCAGTTCTGTACATGAACACACGTTTCACGCGCACGCACATATACACATGCGAGACACTGAAACATGTACACATTCACACGAACACACTTGCATGTCACACAAGCAAACAATTCCCCCCCCTCTCCCCCTCCTCCTGTCCCTCCGTGTGCATGTCTAACTCATTCACTCTGATACCCGCGTGTCTGCACATGTGCGCACACAGCCGGCCAGCTGCTGAGCGCCGTGGATACACGAGCGTCTTCAACGCTCTCTCCCGCATCGCCCGTGAGGAAGGCGTCCTGACCCTCTGGCGGGTACGTGCCGACGCCGATGCTGATGCTGCTGCGTTTGTGTGTGTGTGTGTGTGTGTGTCTGTGTGTGTCTGTGTGTGTCTGTGTGTGTCTGTGTGTCTGTGTGTGTGTGTGTCTGTATGTATGTTTGTCTGTGTGTGTGTGTGTGTCTGTGTGTGTCTGTGTGTGTGTATGTGTGTGTGTCTGTATGTATGTATGTATGTATGTGCTGTGGACTTGCGTTACATCACGCCCCTTTGCTTGACCGACACCCACAAAGCCACAACACACATACACACACACATACACACACACGCACGCACGCACGCACACACATACACACACACATACACACACACACATACACACGCACGCACGCACGCACGCACACACATACACACATATGTGCGTAGGGATGCGGCCCCACAGTTGCCCGCGCAATGGTTGTCAACGCAGCTCAACTCGCCACGTATACGCAGGCCAAGCAAGTCATCAAGCAAACATGTGCGCCTCCTGTGTATCCTGCGTGTGCATCCTGCGTGTGCGTATGCATCTTGCCTGTGTGCACCTTGTGTGCGAGTTTGTGTTTGCAACAAGTTGCTCTCTGTGCTCACACGCGACTCGACCAATGTACAATGCACATCCAACTCCCTTCCCCCTCCTCTCCTCGAACGACCCAACCCCCAGTTGAGCTTGACGGGATTGGGCTGCACTTCAGCGCAAGCATGGTCAGCGGGCTCGCCACCACGGCAGCTAGCATGCCCGTGGACATTCTCAAGACGCGCATCCAGAACATGAACTACGTCAATGGGGTCCCCGAATTCAAGGTGCGCGCCGTGATTACTTGCATGCGCAATTATTGCTGTGTTGCACGATTGCTTGCTTGCGTGTGCGGTTGTCGGTTGATTGGTTGGCTGCATGTACGATGACTTGCTTGGAGGTGAGCCAACGCTGCTTGTTGATGTTGTCTGGCCAGTCCTGGCGAGAAGATGCATATTCACATGCAAACACACAACAAAACACACCACACCACATGTGCATCAGGGACCACTGCACGTTGCGTCGCACATTGTGCGTTCGGAAGGTGTGTTTGCCCTGTGGAAGGGCTTCCTTCCGTACTACGCACGTCTCGGCCCACACACCGTCCTCACATTCATCATTCTGGAGCAACTCAACAAAGCCTACAACACAATCGCCGCCTGATTGTGTGCTGTCACGTGCTTTGCTGTTGTGTCTGTCATGTGTGTGTGTGTATGTGTGATATGTGTCTGTACCTGTGTGTATGTGTGTGTGCGTGTGTGTATGTGTGATATGTGTCTGTACCTGTGTGTATGTGTGTGTGCGTGTGTGTATGTGTGATATGTGTCTGTACCTGTATGCTTGCGCATCTTCGTACCTGTGTATGTGTGTGTGTGTGTGTTTCTGTTTTGTGTGGCCGATGCGACCGTCATTGCACTCCGTCATCCCGCGGCTGCCTCCACCTGTGCTTTTATTCCGGACAACAGCGCCACAATTCGTTTTTGTTGCACTGTGCCCTGCTGACAAGCACGCACGCATGACATTCTTTTTGTGTTTGGTCTCCCTTGCTTGCTCACCTGCTTTATGTTTGCTGCTTCGCGTTCCTACAGCAGCAGCCTGCTGATTTTGTCGTAGTCAACCATGCACGCGTGCGTGTCGTGTGCAGCTTGTGTGCGTGTGTGCTCTAGGTGTATATTGCGTGCCGTGTTGGGGGGTGGATGCAACCGTACCGAGATAAACCCTTCACCATCAGTAAAGAGCAGTGTGTGTGTGTGTGTGTGTGTGTACGTGTGTGTGTGTGTGTGTGTGTGTGTGTGTGTGTGTGTGTGTGTGTGTGTGTGTGCGTGTGTATGCGTGTGTGTGTGTGTGCGTGCGTGCATGTGTGTGTGTTCGTGTGTGTGTGTGTGTGTGTGTGCGTGTGTATGCGTGTGTGTGTGTCGCTTGTTGTGTTCCCTGTGTTTCTTGTCACGTTGCCTTGCAACAATCACCTCTCAAACGCACGGCAAGAATTGTATGATATGGGTGCGTTCACTGGCAAATGCCAGTGATGGCCACGTCCACAACAAAAGGGCATGAATGTCTACAAAGCAAGGCAACTCACACGGTGGAGTGCAAAGGATGGCAGTAACAACTGTATCACCAAGTTTCAAACAGGCAGCAGAAAGCGTAAGTTCAGCACAGATAGAAATGCAAATCCGGAAACGTCTTCGCACTCAATGCGGGAACAGTGAGAGGTTCCTCATGGTGCAATACACACCAACCATGTGCACACGCACACGCAAGCTGTGCACAACACACTCTCTGTCTCTCGCGTGTCTTCACGTACGTGCACAACACACACACGCACACACACACACACACACGCACGCACACACACACACACACACACGCACACACGCACACACGCACACAATACGACACACTCTCTCGCATACATCATGCACCATCAACCACCCCCTCCCTCCCTGCTCCACCTTTCTTCACATTTCATCCTCCCCCATCCTCCAAACCAACACCATCTCTCTCTATCTCTCTATCTCTCTCTGCCCTCACTACCATCATGGCTCTCAATCGTTCCATTCGGGCTGCACAAGCTTGCGTGCAGGCTTCTTCTGGCGTGGAGGCCCTGGCCTTGCCTTGGACTTGGACGATGTTGGCTTTGGCACGGTGCTCTTGACGCCTTGCAGGCGCTTGAGAAACGCCTTGTTCTGGTTGGCGGTTTCGCGCTGGTGTTTGCGCCGGTTCACGCTGGAAGATGCGACGTGCTTCTGCGACTTGTGCGGACGTGTGTCCATCGCCCCGCCTTTGCGTTGGATCTAAGAGCACACGCGACGGTGGTGGTGGATGAGAGAACATGCTTTGAGACATGAACGCTGTGTGCAAATGGTTGCACAAGAACTGAGCAAGAGAAGAAAGGGGTGAAGGAAGGGGAATGGCTGGGGGTGGAGGAGACCACAAATACGCGCATGCACGTACATACACACACGCACACACGCACGTACATACACACGCGCGCACAGACTAACACACACACACACACACACACACACACACACACACACACACACACACACTACCACACACAAACACACACACAAACACACACAAACACACACACACACACACACACACACAAACACACACACACACACACACAAACACACACACACACACACAAACACACACACACACACACAAACACGCACACACACAAACACACACAAACACACACACACACACAACCACGCACACACAACTACACACACACGCACGCACCTCTTCAAGTTTGCCGAGGAGCATGACGTTTTCGCGTTGGATGCGTCGCATGTCATCTCGGTTGTGTGTACGGTTCGTTGGCAGCCCTGTCAGCCGCAGCTCTGACAGCTTGGGGATCGCTGTACACGACCGCGTGGATGGAAAGATGCCGAAGACAGCGCAAAGTTGTTAGACGTACAGCGACTCCAAAACGTTGGAAGCGACGGCCACAACCCTGCTCACTCACAACCACAGGCACCATCACACTCACGGCATTCCATCATCACCGTGACTGATATGCAGGTGCACTCACGTGATACGTCTTCGTAGTAGCGCGAGTCGTCCATGTCCTCCTCCTCTTCAATCAAGCCGTCGTCATCGTCGTCGCTGGTGGCTCCATCGTGACGTCCACGCTGCTGCGTGCGATCCCTGTCATGTCCACCACCAACCACTTCTTCCTCCACATCGCTCTCATCATCGTAGTTCACCTCGTCCTTGCCCTTGGTTCTTCTCGCCCCCTTTGCATGCTGACCGCGTCTCTGAGGTGACGATCCCTGCGCCAGCCCGCGTTCCTCCTCCACCACTTCATCCTCTGCTATCCTGCCCCTTCTCAACGCCATGGCGTGCTTTGTGTGAGCCTTGGTTGGTTGGTTGTGCTTGCAGTCTGGTCGTTGTATTGCTTGTTTGGGTTTGTCGCTTTTGGGTTGCGAGGCAGAAACTGCGCCGCGAAATTCAAACCACACCAACCAAACACATGTACAACGCACTCACATTCACACATGTACCACACACACACGTACCACACACACACACACACACACACACACACACACACACACACACACACACACACACACACACACACACACACACCACACACAAACACACACATACATACACACACACACATACACGCACACACTCTCTCTCTCGTCTCGTTCTCTCCTCTTCAGCTGGCCTCTCTAAGGAGCGCGTTGAGCATGTTCTGCACGGCCGGGTCGTTAAGGTCGATGCTCGCGTCCTGGGTCGTTGTCGCTGTGCGTTGGTGCGCGGCAGCAGTGCCCGGTGCTGCTGGGCGGGGTGCTGGTCGATACCCGCCGCCGCCGCCACCGCCACTATTCGGTGCAGACTGCAGGCGCGGGTCCGACGGCGCGGTGCTGTGGGGAACAGGCGGCGCCGGCCTGGCCACGGAAATGAAAGAAAGGCATGAAGTTACACGTGACGGTGTGTGCATGTGTGTGTGTGTGTGTATGTGTGTGCATGTGTGTGTGTATGTGTGTGTGCATGTGCATATGTGTGTGTTCACGTGTGTGTGTGTGTGTGTGTGTGTGTGTGTGTGTTGGTGAACAGCGGTACCGGTGATGTGCAGGAGAAACACGACAAACAGCGTGGCTGCAGAAGATGCCACCGATGCGGGCACAACCTCGTCACCATCACCACCATCACCAACACCGACACCACGACCATCTGCACCACCACCACTAACACCAACATCGCCGCCACCACCGCTGTCGGCCCCCCCCCCCCGGTGATGGTGTCGACGTCGCTCTCATCACCGCCGGTAGCAGGCGACTCGTTGATGACAAGACAAACTCACGACTGCGGAGAGGGTGTGCTCTGGCCAAGAATCTTGTAAATCTGGGAAGTCAGGCTCTGCGTGTGGGCATTCGTGCGTGTGGCGGGCGACGCAACCACGGGCGGCTGCTCGTAGGAAAGGGCAGAGACAGGGGTTGCGGACACAGCGCTGTCGGTTGCCTGTAGGCACACGACGGCGACAGTTGGACGGGATGCAATAGAGGAAAGAAGGTTCACGTTGGCACCGTTGGGATGGCAATGGGGAAGGAAGTGGGGCGCGGCCGACGCAGGCGGTGGGGAATACCGAGCGCAAATCAGCCAGGAGGGAACCAAGCACCGCATGCGTGGTGTGTGTATGTGTGTGTGTGAGTGCATCATGCGTGTTTCGAACTTGACAGTGTCATTGTGGTGTACATGTGTGTGTGTTTGTGTGTGTTTGTGTGTGTCTGTGTGTGTGTGGTGTGTGTGTGTGTGTATGTGTGTGTGTGTGGTGTGTGTGTGTGTGTGTGTGTGT